TGGGTGGGCAGCCAGACAAATGTTTTATCACTTTTTAGTACTTAAACTATTACCAAAATAAGTTTCAGCCGTAATCAAATGACGAAAGGGTATTGTAATTTTTTTACAACTTTGACACTATTACATAATGTCGCCAAACGCAGCGTGTCTAAACTGCCAGACTACCATTTTCTCATTTCTGACTAAGTTAACGAAAGGCTCACAAATTTTCAGCTGTAATCAAATGGCGTAAGAAAAAAGTTCACTGGCTCCCGGACTATAAACTATGTCGAACCTAAGCGACTATGAAATAAGATAATGTCAATCCAGGGGTGTCGTAACTCCAATTATATTTTACAGGTAGAATTTCCTTATATGTATGAAACATTTACTAAAATTTGAAATGAAGCATGTGACATTTAAAACCGTACCATTTTTTCGAATTATTTTTCTTTAGTTGGATGACTAAAAGTAATCAGATCAATGAAATCTTCAGAGTTTATTTTATTTTATTCCTGAGATATTGGATAACTATGCTCGATACAGGTCGAATGCCATGGTTTTCATTTACACTTAGTACTCGAAGTGGTAAAGAGCTCTGAAATGTGAAATAATATTCCGGTACCGATAACACTTTTCCTACTCGATATTGGAAATGGATATTGCCGTTACATAATACCTGTTCGATACAATATCTACATAAAACTCTGCATTATTGCATATTACCTTTTAGCGAAATAAATGGCCGAAAAGCATTATACTGTTAATATCTGACAGTTTGATAGATTTTGTATCATTGTATTAAACTGTCACCTACTCGAATTAATTTAGATTAGGTACTGAAATGAATCGGTTACTGAAAGAGCTCCATGGCAGGTACCTATAGGAATACAAGAGGTAATAATTTAAGCACGTTTTATGTGGCCATTTTAAGTATGTAAAAATTCATAACACATTATTAGTATTTTATGTAACCTACGAATGCAATAACAAAGATTGTAACAATATTAGTTTTATCAAGATATAAAAATAATTAAGTAATGGAGGAATAACTACGTACTTTACACATGCTTTGCCATCAGCCGGCTTATTTTCCTCTAATCTCAAATTATACATAATGCATACACAGATAAAGCTACAACATCGTACATTACTTTACATGACATGTAATATGATAATAACGGATATAAATACATATACAGGATGTCTCCTTTAAATCGACCCACTCGAATATCTCCGAAACTGTTGCACGATATTAAAAAATGTATCAGACAAAAGTGAAATAGTATCAGGGGACACACTTTCTAATGTGAGTAACTGTTTTCTATATGGACGCGTAAAGATCATATGAAGGTTAGATTGGTTTTTTTAAATGAAACCGTATATTTTTTAATGGACGATTTGATATCACTAGTTATTCCCTACGCAAAGTACTAATTGTAAGTCACTTATGGCGAATTTGTGCAGTAAAAAATATACGATTCCATTTAGAACAACAAAGTTAACCTTCATATAACCGCTACGCGTCCACATAAGGAAAAGTTACTTACATCAGAGAGTGTACCCTCTGTTCCCATTCAACTTTTGTTAGAAGTATTTTTTAATATCAACAGTTTCAGAGATATTCGAGTGTGTCGATTTAAATGGGACACCCTGCATAAAAATAATATTAGTGCTCACATTCGGATGATTTATTTAAGTACGTATTCATCATTAGCAAAGTGTTCTAGGTGCTACAGTGTGTTTTTAAGGCATAATCATCCAAGTTTGTACGTTTTTGTACAACAATATGAAAAGAATAGTTTAGCAGTAGGAACAATTCTCTAGAAATAAAGCGTACAACGATGATGGAGTCTCTTTGTTCTTCAAGTAGGAACTGCATGGCAGAATGCTAACGGAGAAGAAGCCTAGGTAATTGCTTCTCATGTACCGCGGTAAAAGTGGAGGACGTATCATATACGCGGAGAGTGTAATCAAGTATATAAAGTGACATAAAAGCAAGACTTTCAGCAGACAGGAATATAAATCTGCACTTTTTTCGTCTGATTGTTTACGATAAAGTTCCATTTCTTGTAACGGAATTTTAAAACCATAATAGAAAATTTCAGAAAATTCATTTGGCCACTTTTGTGTACGAAATTATTATGTTTGAGCTGACTACATAAAGATAAAATATCGAATACATTTTCGCGAATATTATATTGTAATAACGCCTAGACCTTCCTTGACAAGTATAGAAATTCATAGAAAGAAATTTTTTACGGAAACCAAGTGTCATTAGAACGGTTTTCGAGCACAGAACTTTGAAACTCACGTGGTGTATGTGGCTGTTCTGAATTACGTTTCTGATATGTCCGGCATATGAAATTGCAATTTGGAAGGTACTTTAACGTACAGTAGCTCGAAACTGTTTTCGACGAGAATTTATACGTCTGTTCCTCTCTCAGGTTCTCTCAAGTTATGTTACAGACAACCTATTTCACCTTTTACACATATAAAAATATAATCCCTCTGTAGCGTTTAGAAACACGTAATCAAAAGACCCTTCTTTGAATGTTAAACTTAAAAAACGGAAAGGCACAAATTTAAATGTATGTAGTTTATCGAAACTAATTCTTATAATCGGCTGCTTGTTTCTGGAACGCGATAATTCTTCGGGTTAGCTAGGAAATATGGTCGACGAAGGATTAACAATGTTTAAGAATGTTTTAAACTTTTGTGGCGCGGGAAAGGAGCACATGATCGATAGAAGACGGAAGTGAACGTGTATACATATAGCTTATACGCTTTCGTCAATTACCTACCTCCTTTCCTATCGATAGGTCCACCATATATGTATGTACCAATATATTTACGTTACATAAAATGTTACGACCGAGTAACTGGGAATGCAGCGTAATATATGATGGAACGGTTGAATATTTTTCAGTTCGACGCGGAATAAATCGATATACATATATATATATATATATATTTCTCGTGAATGATTATTAACGCTCGAACGACTTAGCGTCTAGCGGCCAAAAACATAGCGGATCGTCTGATAGCTGAAAACATGGGATTATTATGCCTTAAAATCTTAAAGAAAATTTTAATGTTTATATAATGAAAATTTTGCTTCCTGGGTTCAAGTTTTGTCTCGCTTTATTTTACATTCCTTATCTAAATATATTATTACATACTGTTTAGAAAAAAAGTTACTATAGTCACAGAGTACCTATGTACCTGTAAGTAACGATGATTATTATTTTTTATACAAAAATATGTATAACATTCCATAAGTAGACTACAGATATTTATCCTTTGTAGCTTATGAAAATCCTTAAAAACAATAAAATATAAAACTGTTAGAACACAAACTTATTCTTTGATGCTGTTAATACACGAAATAAAATTTTATTTCGCTCAAGTTTGTCTAAATTCAACTATAAGAATCAACATTTTCATACACATCTCTAGTCTTTACAGTAGGTATTCATTGCATATTTTATTTTATACTTACATATATAACATGCAATATAAGTAACATATGAAATAAATAACTCTTTCTGACAACTAAGTTGTCCATGTTTATGCATTAAAAGCACATCTTAATTTGGAAAATGCAATAAAATTTTGATTTTGCATCAATTTCCGTGGCCTAATGATAACCACTTAATAAAGGCGAATTATGAGTCCCTCTAGGTACATACCTACAGGTATAATTATTCTATCGTAAATAACGTATGTACGTGTTTGTAATAAGTGTCTAAAATATATATTTAATTTCATAACTGTAATTAGAAATATATTTTCAATCTATTTCCATGAGGATATTGTTTAATATCGTAGTAAAATCGTTTTAACTCACTTGTCCCCAAACAGCTGCAATCACGCTGAACATAACATTCCCTACATATGTATTTGCATCTAATGCATTGCCAGTGTTCCTTGTTTACGTATCCGACAAAACCCGAGTCACGGATCTCCGTACGTCATCCACTGACATAGGCCTCACATAGCAACATCTAGTGGCTGTTATTGCAATGTCCAGCAAGTAATATCCTTTCCTCGCTAAATCGTAGCATAATAGTGCCGTAGGCGCGCGCTGCTTCTTCGTTTGTCTAGCGCGTATATCATTAGAGACCCCATTTCCATATAAATTTATTCGGCCATTACGTCTGCTAAGCTTGAATAATTAGAATACATTCGACCAGGATGTAATTCGTCTTACAATTTGTTGCCGCCAAATATGTTCACCATAAAATCTCAATTGTAACCGAACTCTTCGACTATAAAAATATAACATTTAGTATTTCGATTGCTAACGTGAACCCTGAAGATCATTATATATAATGATATATCATTATATATAATGATCTTACCAAAAAAATTCTCTGAGATTTAGGATCTGCAATCCTTAAAAATATAGGCGACGCTAATACTTGTTTATACTTTTGATGATTTCTGATTTGCTTACACTTTTATTGAAACATCACATTGTGAATGGAAAATGCATTTGCCACCCAAAATCCAAGAATTAATCACGTTCCATTATTTATGTTACCTGTACTAATAAGTAATTCACTATAGTTTCCATATAGTGGCGATTCATGTTAGATTTAGAATATTTTTCCAATCTTCTGTTTAGTCAAAATGACAGAAGATTATGGGGACAAATAACGAGTACTGTTAGAATATGATGGTGGTGGGTATTCGAATTGTTACAAAATGAATACAAAGGCTGACAAAAAATAGTCGTCTACTTGGTACACCTAATATTAATTGATTGCATTATAGGAATGAGTCATTCACGGTAGCAGTATCAAAAAATCAATACGACATTCGTCATCAATTCCTATTATAGCCTTCCGCTAGAAAATAGAGACCCACTTTAGAGTTCGCGAGTTTGTTAAGAATTCCGCCCGGCTGATGGGCTGCAGAACAATCCCAGGCGTGTCAAAGTGGTGCAATAAAACGTTGTCGAGAAGACTCAGGGGTGAAGTATAACAGCCATCGCCAATGCTCTTTTTTCTTTCAGGATGGACATTCAATCCGCGCAGAAGAATGAAAGCTTTTACCAGTGCTGCAGCGGGTTGTGCATTGACCTGCTTCAGAGGTTGTCTGAAGAAATCGGGTTCACCTACGAGCTCATTAGGGTCGAAGACGGCAAGTGGGGTACGTTAGAGGTAAGTTTCAAGCGAATTCACCTTACAATTAGTTTTCCTTGGCTGAGGGAACGTGATATCGGTAATGGGTGTCAGTGAAACTATACCGGGACAAATGGGAGCTTGATACAAGAAACTCCGTCCAAATTGCTAAAGTTTCCATTCAACATTATTCACTTTGATGGTCAATAACACGACTTGGTGTAACAAAAAGGAAGCACATAGGTCATGTGACATTGTGTTCTTGCGTATTATAGTTTCAAGCACGGTCTGTCAACCTATAAAATAGTACTGTTCACTATGGGGGTTGCTCACACGCTTCAAACCCTATCCAGAAATGTTTTTCACGTCTCGAAACGACCTTACTCGCGTAAATTTGAGGTGTACTGGTCTTGAAGTTCATCAAGGACCCTAAAAAGTGTCTTAATAAACAATTGTAATAATAATTGTAAAAACCAATGTTCTTAAAAAGAAAGTATGTGTATGTATTGGGAGTACAAATTAGTTCGGTCCGTTTTTTTGTGGTGAAAAATGCATTTATTTCGAGAACAAAATGAATTAACAGATTGATCAAAGTATTGTCCATCGCTGTTTACTACTTTTTCCCACCTCTCAGGCAATTTTCGAATTCCATCTCGAAAAAATATCTCGTCTTTCGAGGCGATCCAAGTTACAAGCCAATTTTCGATTTCTGCGAAAGAAGTGAATCTGTGACCTGCCAAATCGTGCTGCATCCGTCGGAACAACCAGTAATCAGAAGGAGCAATGTCCGGCGAGTACGGCGGGTGCGGTAAAATATCCCACTTGAGCGTTTCCAAATAATTTTTCACAACTTTTGCGACATGAGGCCGAGCGTTATCATGCAGAAGAATGACTTTGTCATGTCTCTGATCGTATTCCGGTCGTTTTTGTCGTAATGCACGGCTCAAACGAATCAATTGCAGCCTATACCGATGGCCCGTAATGGAATCGCCAGGTTGTAGCAGCTCA